AATCCCTCGACCAACTTTCTGCCGAAAATGGTCACATTATCACTCTTTCTGTCCTGGCCCATCTATCTACCCCTTAGCTTCTTATCTTTCTCCCGCCCTATCAGAACTTCTGACTTGTTTACATTCAAGTCGCCGAAATGTGTGCCCTTTTTTGGCAAATTTAATGTGACCTCATCACACCTGCTATTCATCTTGGCCCCCTCACTTTCTATCGGTTAATTCGGCTCGGGCCTCCTGTCCGGATCTCCTCCATGGTCCCGTAGATCCGTTTCTTGTCTTTCTGGTTGACCGATTTCACTCGGCTGGGAATTATGATAACTACTATGGCAGAGGACCTCGGACAAGGTGGGTTCTACTAAGTCGCCTTGACAACAATACCAAGTTGCGACAATGAGGTCGACCCACTTCTATAAATCGAAAGGAGACTGCAACAATACCGGAGGCCACACCATATTGGTCTTCATATCTTCGAATAACTGTTAATGAAATAGTTGCTCTGATACTTCAAATAGAAGGCCCTGCTATTCTATAGAAGTAATCCTTTCAATGGATATACCTGCATTCTCATCCAGATTGGCCCGAAATTCCGACTTTGCCTATAGCCCATAGACCGAATATATGCGAGTCTAAGTCTGATAAGTTATCGTTAGACCACGCCATACCGACATTTGTCAGCAGAAAAGCAAGGACCGTTAATCTAAATATCTGGATGGAGGCGAAATACAGATTGATGATCTAAAGAATAATCAAGCTTGCGAAACTCTTGTATACTCCTCATAGCTACCATTGCTAAATCACATTCAACTTGCCCTTCACGACTAAATCAGTCTGAGTGCAACAAGATATAGGCTAAAATGAGTAAAACGAGCTCTGATATAATCTCCGCATTGGCATAGTGATATAAAATTCAGGAGACGTAAATTTAAAAAATGCAAAATTTAGCACAAAGCAAGCCCGGCTTAAAAACTAAGCAAAATACTCACCATTTAACAAGCAGTCATCTGGTAGTGAATATCCAAGATCAGGTTTTTAAGAAAAGCGTTTGAAATATAATTTCGCAGATCTCTGACAGTTAAACTGCTAAAAGAAGGCTTAATTTTGTTAGTGAATTAAGAGTCTCCCTGCTATTTCGAGCATGTACAAGTGATGAATCGCGTGACAAGAAAGCAGTAAATACTACATCGCTGTTTGTATTAGAGTGCTACAGGGACTAAAACAAAAGGATGAAATATATTTACGACCAGATAGGCACCAACAACAGGAAGCTAATTTAGATCGAGAGATGAATGATTCATTAACAAAGCTCGTAAGAGCTCAATACGATTCCGACTATATCAGAACTGATGTAAACTCTGAATGAGAAAGCACTTCCGAGGTACAAATTACAGAGAAGTTAACTACCAGAAAGATCCAATATCAGCTGCAAGCATAAAATAAAGATACGCACAAATGCACATACACACCTCATGCTAACTTAAAACCTTAAGTTATGGATCAGCATTTGACAAGTAAAGATGGATACGACGACTTATTTCCTTCATCAAACTCATAAGTCCCATCATTGGGATACGTTCATGCCGCAACAAAGTCTCGAAAAACTGTCCAAAAGTGCCTGCTATTTAATTAAGCCATAAAGGGCTACGCGATAGAAATTTTGGACGCCGTAAAAATGTCCATTTAGCATTAAAGCCTACAAAAACATGTGAATGCAACGTTGAATAAGACTCAACCACAGAGAAAGCACCAGCTTACAATTGTTGCTTCCCAACGAATTTGAGCTGGAGGACGGAATCAAGGGAGAAGTTCCAATTTTGGCCAGTACAGATGTCTCATTGACTCCGGGAGGCAATTTTGGGATCCGAATATCTGGTAAGGATGGGGAAGAAAGTAAAATAAAAGTAAAGATGTGAAAAGAGCATATTCCAAAGCCAGACAATTGAGACCATTCCTATCGCGGTCTGTATGAGTATGCAAGGAAAGGATAGATCTTGGTAATGCAGCAATTAATGAAAACCCACCAGAAAATTAAAGTCAACAAGCAAAGAAGTGGGTTGACCTCGTTGTCGTAACTTGGTATTATTGTCAGGGAGACTTAATAGAACGCATCTAGTCGACTGCCATAATAGTTGTCATGATTCCCAGCATCAGACAGTGGACTTGGTACATTCTCAAACGTTTCGCCTGCATCATAGTCGGCATCACCAGTAACAACAGGACCAAGTTGCAACAACGAGGTCAACCCACTTCTATAAATCGAAAGGAGACTGCGACCATACCAGAGGCCATAACATCTTGGTCTTCATATCTTCAGCAAGCAAAGTTTAGGAACACTTTTGACGCTTTAAAAGACCATTTTTGACTAATAGTTTTTAATGTTTCGATTATATCAATAAGTTGTAAATAAGAGCTTACTGAGCCTAGGTCACATATGGAGATTTAAGAATTCATTTGTGAATAATTAAAAAGTAATTTACTATTTATCATAGTGGATGACTGTTTCGAAGCAAAATATCCTGCAATCTACCAATTTCCTGGTCAGAATAATTAATGTCTGTCACACATAGACTCTTTATTAATTCAGATTTCATGATTTAAACTTTTGACCTTGTATGTATGATACATTTATAATGCATACATACACCAGTATAGGATCGCAAGTTGATTTATTTAGGCAAGAAAACAGCTATTATCATTCCCACTTGATGTATGCAAGCATGAAGTACCAACCAAATCATGGAAGGCCTCATTAAAATCGCAAAATTAGATATAATAAGTGAATAAGTAGGATTGCAGCCAATCACCTTTTATCTTGGTTTTGTATGTTGCTGCGGTTTCTCCTAATGTATGGTTTCTCACTTTGACAATGTATATCACAGAGGAGACAGACGAAAGCCCAATGATATGGAGACTTGAATTTCGCATAGGAATGACAAGGAGATTGGTATGTAGATCGTACCGGAAGACAACCGCTGAATTGTGTTGTTCTGCATCGTGTTTGGCTTTGATACAACCTTCAGGTTGACGCAGTTTATGAGACCTCCTCCTCCGTTTCCGGTGAAAACAGGATAATCCCTCTTCCCTCATATGACGGACATCCTCAAAGCTGGAACTCATGCCTGCAAAAGCTTTAATCCAATGCTAAATCGAAACACTTTTGCAATAATAAGAGCAGGTCTGAGGATATCCGTCGGACGAAAGCCCAGCCCATCTTCACCCGAAACGACGGAGGATATTTCGTGGATTGCGTCAACCGGAACGTCGTATTACGGCCAGAACAACGGGAACCAGCCGTCGTCTTCTTGTAAGTGCGACCTACGAATCTTTTCATCATGCGCTTTCACCAGATAGAAAAGTATTCACAACAGTTTCATTGCAAGAGATTCATGAAAGCCCAATTATTCTTAAAGGATAAGACGAAAGCTCGACACGGAGGGATCGAGCTCGCAGGACAGTAAGCCGAAGACTTGTTCACACAGAGCACCAGACTACCAACAAGGGATATTCCAGATCTACTAGCTGTCCACGAAGTGGAATAAAAACGGAAGATCGTTTATCATATGAAGAAGATGAATTTCGAAGAATGAGTTAGCTTGATTCGAATTCCCATTTCGAAGGAAAAGTTGGTTGGAAGAAAATCGTGAATTGCTTTCATGTGAAGCCGAAGGAGGATTGAAGAGTGCTGGATTATGCGAACAAGTCCGATGAAACAGTGTCACGCTTTTGTTCGTTCCATCAGAGCAAGAAATTATAATCGAAGGTATGAAGACCAAGATGATGTGGCCTTTTGTGTGTTCGCAGTCTCCTTTCGTTGTAGAGAAGTTGTTTGACCTTATTTTCGCAACATGGTCATATTGGTGGGAAGACATAGAGGAACGCACCTTTTCCGGGGTCCATTGTCTGAATTATCATTTCCAAAGTTGAACCATGGACGTGGTACATTCTCAAACGTTTCGCCGGCATTGTAGTCGGCATCGTCAGTGAGTATCGCCATGCTTAGCGCCACACAGCAACTCGTCAAAAGAGACAAGTGAAGCTGATCCTTTGACCAAACTTGTGCTAAACAATTGTGGTATCTCCCCTTCTGCTCTGGGTTATTCGCGTTTCCGGTTTCATCCTATCATGCCTCCACTATAACAATTTTTTACCGTGGCTTCTTTGAGCAACAGTTGGAGTGTGAAGGTGTCATGTGACTCAAAGGTGCACACCACACTATCTAAATAAACACGGTAAAAATTGTAATATTAAAGGCATGATAGGATGATACCGGAAACGCGAATAACCCGGGGCAGAAGGAGAGATATCACAATTGTTTAGCACAAATTTGGTCAAAGGATCGGCTTCACTTGTCTCTTTTGACGAGTTGTTGTGTGGCGCTAAGAATGGCGATACTCACTGACGATGTCAACGACGATGCCGGCGAAACGTTTGGGAATGTACCACGTCCACGGTTCAACTTTGGAAATGATCATGCAGACAACGGACCCCGGACTAGGTGCGTTCTTCTAAGTCTTCCTACCAATAGGACCATGTTGCGAAAACAAGATCAAACAACCTCTATACAAGAAATTATACTTTACAAAATAGCGAAACAATATGGTAAACTATTTTTTTGGTTTATTATATTATTGCGCTATTTCTAAAAGTAGAATTTTTGGCTCTTATGATGCTTGTCGTGGCGGAATGGATCGGCTCGCAGGACGGTAAAGCGAGGACTTGTTCATAAAAACCAACAGTCTTCCCTCCAAAACAAGCCTTTTTTTGGTTCTGATGAGACAAGTTTCACCAAACCTCTTTAGCCAACTCCGTCTTCGAACTGAAGAGTAAAGTCCGACTAAACTG